TACCAAGGTCTCCTAGGTACAAGCAGCAATTTCTACCGTCGTAAATGGTACTCTCAATGACTGGAGGTGTCTCTCCACCTCTGGAACGACAAAGGCAGAAAACGGGACTGTGTAGTGATGAAGGTAAAGTCGTTTTTTTTCTTTTTTATCATAGCTGTCTAGATATTTGATACGCTGTTGATAAGGCATTTTGGGCTGTCATTACTAGAATGGATCCATATATTTTGTAAAGTCAGTCCGTGATTCGGAAGCTTTGAACTTGGCGTAAAGCGGTTGTTGACAGTGGCGTAGGTAAAAATCGATAATATATTTGCATTTCCATATTTTGAAAAGTTTATGGAGATTTTTGCTGTTTACTGATATCAATACTGATGGAAAGTGGATTATAGATACACAAGAAATCACTTTAATCCTGAATTATTCACCACTTGATTACACACAGGCACACATATGCACACGCATGAACGCACATGTATATTATGTACACACGCACATATGTGTAAACACACCACACACACACACACACACACACACACACACACACACACACACACAATATATATATATATATATATTATATATATATATATATATATATATATATATATATCAAAAGTACCACATGGCCAGGGGCAAGATACTCAAAACAGTTAACATTATATCTCGCATCGGACATCACATATTGTAAAGTAACTGATCAAGAGCTCTTGTAAGAGTTTCAACCCGGATATAGTAGTTTATTTCCCAATTTCATAATTGACAGAAACCTTTATTTGATCGTAAACTGTCTTTCCCATACCTTAATGCCTTTAAAATAATCTAGCCTTATATATACTCTTCATGCTTTATTGCTAATTTGAATCAAATATATATTAATTGTGAATTGACATACAGCAAACCACTTATATGCATGACTGAGCACTGGCACGTGAGAGGCGTTATAAGGAACCCTTAGATTCCCTTCCTATCATATATAATTTTTTTTATTCGTTTTACTGTAACCTTCTTTAACGTTAAATATCCAACAAAACAATCCTTTCCAGAATTAGTATTCCGCTTATTCAGTCACTTCTCTCTTTTTATGCGTTTTTTTAAGCGTTTTTATCAGTTTCCTTTCGCGTAAAATTATATATTTTTTGACTGATGACTTTACGAATTCCTCCCCGACGCACACACTGCTTCATCTCCATTTTTGACTGTAATGCCTAAAAAATGTAAATATCAGTGAATTAATGTGTCGCTTGGAAAACACATTGTTAAGAATTTAGGAAATAGATTTAAATGACGTGATGATTAGATTCCCGCTCATTTGTAATCATTTCTTTCCTAGGGATCTATGAAGAATAATGTATATCATTACTATTATTTTTTTTTTGCCTGAAGGTGACTGCTAGTTCGTATTATCATTTTTTCTTTGTATTTCTCTTTATATATATACACACACATACATATACATACATACATACATACATAAAAATATTCCATCATCTTTATCACTATTATCTATATGATTAACCTCCATATAGCAGGAACTGTACTCACCTTAAACCGGTAAAAAACTCAAAATGCAAAACACGCACATGGAAGTACATGGCAGCAAGCCAGTCAAGTTCAAATTACCAGAACATATGGGGAAGTTTGCATAGTAATGGTATGTGAGTTTTGACCTTATGACCTTAGCTTGACCATGCCTTTAGAAGTATGCGAGTGGCCTCTGTATCCTCCGTGGTACGTCCAGGTGGTGGTTGGAGGTACACTTGTGTTCTTTAATTTTACTTTACTGTTGGAGGTTTTGTCCAGAAACTTATCTTAAAAAATGGGATAAAAAGAAAAAAATCGAGGATAACATAAGCATATACACGCTTGCACGCAACACATCTTTTTGTGTGCGTATGCATGTATGTATTTATGCATTCATACGTACTTATACATATACAGGCATATTCCATATTTATACTCTGCATTGCTGTATGTGAATGTGTGAATATAATACACATGCTGATAGCCAGTTACCGTGGGCCCGATCCAGTCCTAACCTGGTACTGGTCCTTAGCTTATAATCTCAAAGGTGATTGCCATAAAAGTTACCATAAACAAGGGTACCAGCCCAAGAGAAAGGGACATTTTTAGTAGTGTATATTTTTAACTGTTTTTATACCTGAATTTTGTATGCGAACTGTGAGCTCACAAAGGGACTTTTTAAGATACCTAATCCTTTTGAGTTGTATTTAGTATTGTTATTGTTATTATTTTTGTTTCAATAAACGTGTCGAAGTCAAAGGACTTTTTTATGTTTTATATATCATTATTATTATTTTTGTTAGGCTGACATAACTGTTGAATACAAGCCTAGATGTACTTTGAGGGGAGAATGGTTTCGTATGTGACTGGATGTGAATTTTGATACACTTCTCAGGATAGTTTTGAAGGTTAACCTTGAACGTAACTCGATCGTCTGAGTGCTTGAATGAATCCAAGCACATTATCATTTAAGTATCCAAGCAAACTGGAAACCGAAGGACGTAAGGTAGGCCTATATGCAAACAATTATATCATGAACCTGAAATTTCCTTCTTTATCGACCAAACCTTTCACATCTGTAACGCAAATGAAATGATTTATTCATTAAGAACATAAAGCTTTTGTCGTCAAAGTAAAATAAAGAAGAAGAAAGAGAGAGAAAAAAAAGCTTCCTCTGTTTTTCTGGGGTTTTCAAAAATCCATTCTGGTAATTACCAGTAAAGACACGAATACGCTATTTCAATCTAAGAAAGAGAAGAAAGAAAGAGAGAAAGAAAGAAATAAGGAAAGAAAGAAAGAAAGAAATAAGAAAAGAAAAAGCACAGTTAAACACTACCGCAGTCTATCTAGGTAGCATGTAGGTACACTTAGATCCACACGCTAAAAGTTCCACTCTGTCCGTCCTCTGTCAGTCCAAGTAATGCCTTGCAGAAGTCGCTGTAAGGCCAATCTGTACAGTCTGCCGGCCCTGTGTGATAAAGCGGTGACCTTAACACAGATGACGACTTAATGGATGAGCGTTGAAGAATTTAGACCTTTTTCCGAGAACCGCCCCGTCGAAAAGGTCGTGACCTAATACTTTGGACTAACATTTTATTCTATCTTCTTATAAACGCAGATGCAGAAACAGACACACGTATATATACATATATACATATGCGCATACACAGGCACACAAGTTCATATATATGTATACGCGTACATAGATATAGACACACACACAGACACACTTAAACACGCTCTCTCTCTCTCTCCCTCCCTTCCTCGCCTCCCTCCTCCCTCTCTCTGTCTCTCTCTCTCTCTCTCTCTCTCTCTCTCTCTCTCTCTCTCTCTCTCTCTCTCTCTCTCTCTCTCTCTCTCTCTCTCTCTCTCTCTCTCTCTGCACACACACACACGCATCTCTCTCTCTCTCTCTCTCTCTCTCTCTCTCTCTCTCTCTCTCTTCTCTCTCTCTCTCTCTCTCTTCTCTCTCTCTCTCTCTATCTATATATATATATATATATATATATATATATATATATATATATATATATATAATATACTTATACACGTGTTCTTATACATCCGGGTTTTCCACTTTGAAAATGCTCAGAACCTTTTAGCAAATCACGCTACTGTTACAATCGACTTTTGGGAACTTTGTTCGATAAACACATCCGTTACCGCAAGATACTGGCTTCCTGAATACTCACTCCTGTACACGGGCTCACACATATACTTATAAGGTCTGGTGGAAACTTTTAAGTGATCCCTTAAAACTGAAATGATTAGAATTGCAGCACTTGACGTTCGTATTGTCATGTACTTCGATATTCTACCTAAGACAGGTGGTGCCTAAATACGAGACTAACAATTGACAGGTTTTATAATGCACTTAAAGCCAATTTCAGTTAATGTTTTGTATTTTGTATACCTTGTTATAATCACTGCAGTGATGCTCAATCCTATTGCTAGCTATACATGCTCTCCATTAGTGTGTATTGATACACACACACACACACACACACACACACACACACACACACACACACACACATACACACATACATACACACACACATACACACACACACCATCACACATACACATATATATATACACACGCACACACACACAATATATATATATATTATATATATTATATATATAGTGTATGTGTATATATATGTGTGTGTGTAATATATATATATATATATTATAGTATATATATTATATATATTATAATGGTGTGTGTGTGTGGTGTGGTCTAGTATATATATATATATATATATATATATATATATATATATATATATATATATATATATATATACATACCACATATATACACATACATCATATATAACACACACACCACACACAGAGGGACACAAGGGGGTGGGGTTGAGAAAAAGTATCGCCAGGGTCAAGACGGGCAGGTGTGGGCAAGTCACTGCAAATGGAGGCAGGTCAGGGAAGAGAAGGTCACAGGGTTGCCAACTTATGGACGCAGATTGTTGAACGCGACGAAAAACCACTATAGTAGTAGTGTGTTTTTTTACACTGTATCATCACTGAAGATTGTATTGTTATATATATATTATATATATATATATATATATATATATATATATATATATATATATATACATATATATATGTATGTATGTATTTGTATACACACACAGATACACACTTTATATATTATATTCATTATATACGCACACATGTATATGTATATATATACATATCTGTCTTTGTGGGTCAAAGACATACACACACACACACACACAAACACACACACAAACAAACACACAACAAACAGACACAAACACACACATAGACAAAAAAGCACAAACAGACAAACAAACACACATAGACAACACAACAACACACAAAAAAACAGACACACACAAACAGACACAAACAAACAAACACACTCTCCTCCGACCTCCATTCTCCGTCCTTCGGCTCCTTGACTCCTCCCCGCGTCACGCCAG